ACTCAGCACATGGCTCAAATCTACATAACTATAATAAGAAAACATGGACTTTAAAGTAAACTTTTGAAAACCTGACTTTAAATCTGTGTTCGCATTAATCAAAGTAGCTCAGTTTGAATAGGAAGGGTCTTCCTCTCTCCTGTCCCGTTCCCCCTTCTTGTAGCATCGATTTGATCTTTGAAGCAGAAAAATCCTCAGAAACTGCCCCAATGTTGAAGCAACAGTCTAGTCAGATGAGAAAGTGCCTACACAGTGTGCAGGGTGACTTCAGCAGCAGCAGACGTTATTCCTGCCAGTCCTACAGGCTAGGAAACTGAGGCCCCTAGGTACTGGGTGACTTGCCCCGGCTCACGTAGCTATCAGGCATCTGAATCAGGAGCCTGAGCTGATTAACCAAACTTCACTTCAGCGTGGCCTCCTCTATTTCCTGTTCTAGCATATTTTCTTCAACTTTTTAGTAAGAGAAATTTCAAACATAGAAAGGCTTAAAGGATTCGTGAATACCTACTTACCTATCACCCAAGTTTTACAATTACTATTTTCCTTTGTTTGCTCTATGGCATAGATATCTGTCCAGTCCTTTCTCCATCCATCCAAACATTCATCCATTTGTCTCTCCCTCCCCCTTCTGCCTTCTTCCTCCTCTTCCTCCCTTCCCCCACTTTGTTTCAAAGCAAAATTCATACCTTAAAACACTTCTTCTCTGAACACCACTAAACATTATGAACTACAGCTCAAACCCTATTTATGGTTCACTTTTGGAGGGGTGGGTGGGAAGATTTGCTGAAAGTTTAATGCCAAGGTTTAAGTGTGCCTTCAATTGGTTTAGACAAATGCAGTTGCCTTTCCAGATGTTCTAGAACTGAACCTATTTGAATTGTGCAGTGGGTGTTACGGTGGACAAGGCTTCTGTTTCCGAGACACACTGTGTGTTCGTTCTTTCTGTGATGAGCAGCATTACCTCCTAGAACACCCCTTGGTAGGCTCCAGCTTTTCACAACTATAGGTAAACTTTTATGAACATGAGGGCTGTCATGACAGCTTGGAATAAATGAGATTCCACTCTCAAATACTGCCCCAGGGCCTCTGGAGATGGGTAGGCAAAGTAGCCCACTGCACAGCCCCCACTCACACTCCTAGGTACGTCTCTTAAAGAAAGGAGAAGCCCCCAGTCCTGGGGAAGAGGGTATGCCTTCTCAAACTCAAGTCCTAGGTGCCCGGAAGTGCTGTCTCCAAAGCCCACATGCATGGGGTGGACCTAAAGCCGCAAGTCACTGGGCTCCCACCACTGTTGCCTGCCAGCCACTGTGCCTCTGGTCATGATAGGTGCAGGGTGGGTAGAGGAACACAGCAATATAAATACAAACTTAGCACAGTTGTCTTTCAAATAGGGTTCCCAAGCAAATATCACAGCACGCCAGTGCACAGAAACACCAAGATCATTGTACTTAGGACAAATCATATGTTGATAAATTAAGTCGAACATCTCTTGAGAACTATCAGTAAGATATACCCCTTCTTTAGCTGGCCTAACAGTTAAAGAGTGAATCTTTACCTGACATATTATGTCAGGTAAACTGATTTTTTTAAATAAAATTTCATATGCCTTTCCAAAAAAGCTACATGGAGAAAAGACAACTCATACTACTACCTGCAAATGAGATAGTAAATAAATATAATCTTTTTACACTTATATATCACCTACCATTGCAATCACTCGAAAGTACCTTCTTAAAAATTACATTTTACACAGGTAAACAAAACGGTTGAAATGAAAGGTTAATTTGCTCCAGGATAAGCAATATATACATCAGAGCAGCAACAACAAAAATAAATGCAGCCTTCTTTGACCAACGGTAGGAGCACCCTCAATCAATAAAACGGGGCGTTATTGGAATTATCCTTGACAGATTTTTAAGATTCCTCCTAAGAACTCCTTTTGCATTGAAAACCAGAAAGTGGCCCTCAACACCAATTTTCACCCATTCACCTTTAAGTTGCAAGTTAAGTTTAAAAGTCAGTTTAAGATTTCTTTCCTGCCCCTAAATGTGGCAAAGAGAACTTTGAAGTATGAAATGGGTACATGTTGCCTGGAAGCAGGGGTCAAGTGGGAAACTGGAGGAGGGCAGAGAGTGGAGGTGTGGGGAAACAACCCAAGGGGCAATGGGCTGGACGCCTCATCACCCAGGAACGCAAAGGGGCCATGGGCCACAGCACAGCACAGGCCCCGACCCTCTGAAGACAGCGGTGCAGACCCAGCCTGGTAGAAGTCATGAGCGGATGAAGAGCGGCAAACGTGAGCAGTGCCTGCAGCTGCATCCGCCCCTCACCAGCAGTAGGAGCTGAGAAGGCCGTGGAAGAGCCAGAGTCTCAAGCTGCAAGAGAGAGATGCTCCTGCAGGGCTCCTAGACAGCCCTAGCCCCAACCCTGCCCCGATTTGCCACGTGACCTGCGAAGCTGATTTCCTTTCACTGTCCCATCTGTTTAGAGGGAGGGATTATAAACCAACTATCAAGAGCAAGCTTAGACATCCATAAAAGTCAACTAAGTAAGTTTTGCCTTCAACGGATTGATTACTATTTGTCACAAATCAAGCATTGTATACATCATGTCTTCTAAGTATGCCAAACTAGAAAACCAAACAATCTAAAAATCTTGTTTTGTTAACATGACCAAAGCTACGCATGAGTACAGACTGCTGGAGTTTAAAATTCACTTTTATTTTTTAATTCTGTGCCATACTTCTCCATCTGAATGAATCTGGTTTCTGTGACTATGTTGCACTATTTAAAACTCAGACATAATTAGTATTGCTCAGGTGTCAAGGATATTCGTGTCACATACAACGCTGATGATATTTTCCCACCCAACAGCACGCTTCTTAATGGAACTGACTTTAAGATGGCTGTGACCTCCTGCCGCCATCCCTTCAGCCACTACAAGGGCTTTTGCCTACTTTATAGATTTATATACACCAATATCCACCCAGCCATAGGATGGACAACTGCTGAACAGCTACTAAGTGCAGTAGCAAGAAGTCACACAATGTATTCCATCTTGCTGCTCCTGGTGTTGCATGCTTGTAATCCCAGCACTCAGGAAGATGAGGCAGAAGGATTGCCACCAGTTTGAGGCCAGGCTGGGCTACATAGTGAGTCTCAAAAACAAAACAATTTATTTCATTTGAATTTGAGTCTATGTCCATCTCCTGTTCTTACACTTTTGAAAATTTACTTGATTATATCCACATTATGTCCAGTTGGGTTCACGCTCATAAGAATTAACCATACAACATTCTACCTAGTAGACAAGGAAAATGGACATCCTAGAGAAATGTAAACAAAACGATTTATTAAAGCAAGAATTCTTTGCCCACGAGGTAAATTACCGTGTTCTCATTGCGACTCCCGAAAGATCTACCGAGAAAGCCTTTACTAAAGCCTTTGGTCTTCCTTGACTTAGTCAACACCCTGCCCCTTCACAAACCCTTCTTGAGCTCCACTTGCCTGACCTCATTCAAACATTTGATCTGAGTCTTGGTCCTCTAGTCCCACCAGGGCCAAGGCCGCAACCTTCCTGCATGAGAAGGAAACCCCCGCCCAGTTTACCCATTTCCCAAATGGGAGGAGCTGCTGTTGGTGGGCAGTTGAGCAAAATATGCACGGTTGAAATCAAAGCCATTTCCTTTTTTTCTGTAGCAGGCTGGAGGCTGAGGTGCCTGTGGAGATCTCTCTGTCAACACAGGCCAACCATTCGCGGGCAGTAGGCCCAATAAGATAGCAACTTTTCCTTTTAGCTTGTCAACAAAGGTCTCTTCCTCGAATCTTACAGGCTCATAATCCTGTTTTACTAGACTGCTCTACCGTTCTAAAATTAAACACACACCCTCTGCAATTATTTGATATTTTAAAATTGAAAAATAATGTCCACTGAACAGTTTTTAAAATCATAAATTATATTTCAGTTTTTCATTTTGAATTGTAAAATACCAACTCTTCCTGTTGGGTTTTTTTTTTTTTCTCTCGAAAACGAACACTATAGTGTACTGGAGGTGATTTATATGAAAAAAACAAACCACATTGAATGTCAGCTTCAACCTAATTTAAATTGTTTACACATTCATGAGAAAACCTAGTGGTTAACCTTGGCGTGGAGTCCGGGAGATAAACAGATTTCTCCTAATTAGAAGGGGCCTGCACTGGCTCAGAACGGGAATTACTGGACGCTGAGTAACACGTCGAGGGACGTGTTGGGGTGCAGATCCCGGGTTCTCAGGCTTTGGCCGCGCAGAACACACGATCGGACAGGGCCGTTCGGACGGGACTTGCACGCCGAGGCCGGTACGGGCGGCAGCGCGGTGCCCGGGTTCCAGCTCCGCCGCCCGCCACTCGGCGCCCAGGGGTGGAGGGCGGCCGGGCAACGGGGAGACGGCCGGGGACAAAGGGCGGCGCTGCCCGGCGGAGGCGCAGCCAGCCCGGGACCCACGGAGCCTCGAAGGCCGGGCCCGGGAGCGCTGATGGGGCGATCAGCCGGAGCCTGCGCGGCGCGCGGAGGCAACACCTAGCAGGGGCACAGGGACGCGGCCGAGGCTGCGAGCTCCGGCATACCGCGCGCCCCGGAGGCAGGGACAGGTGACCCGAGCCGGGATGCTCAACCCGGCTTTCCCGGCCCCGGCCGGCTACGGAACTGCAGCGCTCGGCCCTGCACCTCCCAGCACCGACTCCTTCAGTGCGAAGCGACCAGCGCTTTATATACCCTGCTAAAAATAGCCTGTGACGACGCTATCCAATCAGAGCGGGCCGAGTTCGAATTGGCCCAATGGTGAGAGCTGTCATGAAGAAGCTCGGTCACGCCAGGCGGGGCCGCGGTGTGTCAGCACCCGCTATTGGCCGAAGCTGACATCATCGGCACGCAGTCTTCGGGCCGGGCGCGGCGCGATTGGGTAGCGTGCGGGGCGGGGCCGAGCGGGTCACGTGGGCAGGAGGCGTGGGGGAGCGGCGGGGGCGGAGGGCAGGCTGGCAGCGGAGCTTGAATAGGGAAGTTTTGCAGCAGCGGCGCTCGCAGTCAGTCCGGTGTTTGCAAATATTGTGTGGGCTCCGCGCGCCGCGGCTGAGGGAGGGTCCGGCCGGGCGTCCGATCGCCGCGCCAGGAGTTTGCATGCAACTTTCACCTGCGCTCGCGGGCCGAGTTTCCCCTGCGACTCCAGCGCGCGCGGCCGCCCGGGCTACCGCCGTCGGGCACCGTCCGCACCCCGCCATGGACGTGCTTCCCATGTGCAGCATCTTCCAGGAGCTGCAGATCGTGCACGAGACCGGCTACTTCTCGGCGCTGCCGTCCCTGGAGGAGTACTGGCAACAGGTAAGCGCCGCCGTCCGGGGTTCGCTCCGCCGCCCGTCCCGGTCCCGGTTCCGAGCGCAGCGCCCGGGAGGCCCCGCGACGCCGAGCCGAGCCCGGACGCGAGCTCGCGCTGGGGCCGGTGTCGGTCCGCTCGCCGCGGCCGGACCGGGTCCCGGGCGCGCACTCGCCTCGCCTGCGCGGGGCTTCTCGTTTTATTTCCTCCTCCGCAGAATTTTGTTTTTGTTTTGCTCTTCGGTGTTTAGACCTAGTTTTTTATCTAACGCTCCGCCTGCGGAGTACAGACCCGCTGCTGCCCGACTCCGGGCCGCTGGCGGCGCGTCGTCCCGGCTCCGCGGCCGCGCCCGGGTCGCCCCTCTCCTCACCTGCGTCCCCGGTGACAGCGGGCCCCGGCCCCGCCCGGCGTCAGCCTTCGCTGGGGAAGGGGAACCTCGGCTTCCGGCGTTTCAGTGGAACCAGAATTTTGGGCATCGGAAATTTAAGAAACTTAATCAGTTCCCCGTTCTTATTCTTAGGGTTAACTGAAGGAAGACTCTTTAACACTTGTCCCATTGTCTTTTTTTTTTTTTTTTTTGAAAGAAAAAGGGTTTGGTGTTTCTCTGCTCTGATGTGCTGTTTGTTTTTTTGTCAAAGTGAATTAGCAGATCAGATTTTTTATGTGGGTTTCAAAGCCTAGAAAGCTTTTGAAGAAGGATGGAATTCGAAAGTGTTGCAACCATCTCGTGCCAGTTTTAATTGTTCACACCCCCACCCCCAAGCTGCACCCTCGGATGGATCGAAATTGATCTAAGTAGTTTCCTTCGGGCATTTGGGATTCGGGCAACGAGCCAGACTTGGCTCCTGGTTGCCTTCAGAGGCTTTTAAACTCTCGGAGCTTCGTTCAGGTCCCCGGCGTTCATCGGCATAATGGAGATTTTAAATTAGCCAGATTATTAAAGTTTAACAGGATCTCAGTAAATGTGCTTGCTTTTTTCTTTGGAACGTCAATAAAATGTTTCACTGCCTCTCTGCAAAACACCGTAGTAGACGTTGTCAGTCAGACATCTAATTCGAGGGAGGAAAGAGAAAGCAATGATTTTGCCCCTTGCTTGCTCCTGCTTGCCGGCGTGCGAGTCTTGGGGAGGGGAGGATGGGCACACACTGACAGAAGCCCCCGGGGGCTGTGCTCAGGATGGCTTGGCCCTGAAAATGATTCCTTGAAAAGAACAGTTTGGTGTCAGAATTCAAATCTGTAGAATTGCCAGTAGCACAGACAACCTTATATGGACATGCAGGCAACCTGGTGAAAATCAGGGCAGACATAATTTGATCCTAAAATGTTTCCTACCATTTTTCTTTTCCAGTGGCTAGAAAGTTTGAAATGGTTGGGGAGAGGGGATGCTGATCTCGGCATTGTAGCTTCTTGAAAGGTTGGTTGTGGGCTGGGGGGGGCACCCTGTCCATGACACACTGCATGTATATTTGAACCTGGTCCTTATTTGGCCGCTGGTCAGAATTTCAAAAGGAAGTCTCCTTTGGCATTGCGTGAAAGAAATGAGTGATGACTCATACAGTTGTACTCTTGGCCAGCAGATAAAGTTCTTGTTCATTGTGGCACTCCCAGCAGGGCTGTGGAGTAATTTCCCCCTTGCATCCTTTGCAATAGCAGATGGCCATTCTGGAATTATTCCCCCACTCCTGTTGAAGATTCTTGTTTTTCTCTGACCACTGTAGAAGTAATTAAAGTTTTGTGGCATGCATGACCCTGCACTTGGGACTGGCATTCTTTGAAAACATACTAGGTCTTGGCTACACAGGAAATGGGTGGTCTCTTTGCAACTCCCTTGATGTCCCTGAGTATGGACAGCTAGCTGCTGTCTACTGTCTCGAGTGTGGCCCTGCGTGCTCAGCTGTGTCCCCAAGGGGCTCCATCAGAACACACTGTGTGCTGTGCAGTCTTTCTGTCCTGTTGTGTGGATCCATGTGTTGTGTGAACGTGGATGGCTGGAGCTTCTTTAGTACACATGGTTCTTGAGAATGTCAGCTCATCTGGTTAAACCTGTTGGGGGGGTATGTGTGTCAGGCTGATTTTCTTTGTGTGGTTTATGGGAAACTCATTAGAAATGTCAACACTTGTAACCATAACAACAAAACAGGCTTAGTGATCATCACTCATTGTGGCCAACATAGGGGAAGCCAAGAGAGGTTTCACCCTCTGTTTTTCCTTCTGAATGCTTACTATTCTAGGAATAGATTTTCTCTTAACTTTCACAGGGACACAGCTTCTAATTACAGGAGGCTCTGTGCCCATAGTGAGTGACACTGCAGTAGTTTATCTGTCCTTTGTTCTTGCATGTTTTTGGAGATGTGCTTTTGGTTCCACTTTCAGTTGTCACAACAAGTCACGTGTCCTCTCTTGGTTCCCTTTACCCAGACCTGCCTGGAATTGGAACGCTACCTCCAGAGTGAACCCTGCTATGTTTCAGCCTCAGAAATCAAATTTGACAGCCAGGAAGATCTGTGGACCAAAATCATTCTGGCTCGGGAGAAAAAGGAGGACTCGGAACTAAAGATTTCTTCTAGTCCCCCCGAGGACCCTCTGATCAGCCCGAGCCTCAGTTACAATTTGGAGACCAACAGCCTGAACTCAGATGTGAGCAGCGAATCATCTGACAGCTCAGAGGAACTTTCGCCTACTACCAAGTTTCCCTCTGACCCTATCAGCGAAGTGTTAGTCAATTCAGGAACTCTGAGCTCCTCTGTCACCTCCACACCTCCTTCTTCTCCTGAACTGAGTAGAGAACCTTCTCAACTTTGGGGTTGTGTGCCGGGAGAGCTACCCTCGCCGGGGAAGGTGCGCAGTGGGACTTCGGGGAAGCCGGGTGACAAGGGTAGTGGCGACAGCTCCCCAGACGGCAGGAGGAGGGTGCATCGGTGCCACTTTAATGGCTGCAGAAAAGTTTACACCAAAAGCTCCCACTTGAAAGCACATCAGCGCACTCACACAGGTCAGTCCCCTCCTGGGACCTGGGAGGTTGGCCGCTGGTGGGCGCTGCTGAATTGCACCAGCCCTGGGAGGGAGCCAGGGCTCTGCAGGATTTGGTCACAGCCAACAAACCCTCACTTCCTAAATCCTTGCCACCAAAGAATCCAGTTATTTTGGAGTTCAAAGTAGAATCTTAAAGACTGGACATCTGAGTCAGATGAATGGTTAATACTTTTGAGATCAAACAAAGAAACAAGAGGCTAGATCATGTTCTCCGTGGATGCTCAAGCCTCCACCCAGTCTAACAGCCCAGTGTGTCAAGGCCCATGGGCTCAGTATGCCTGTGTGTTTGCATCATGTTACATGGGGTTGCTCCTCGCTGTTTGAGATGAAACTCCAAGGTTGGAACAGAGGGTCCCCGGGCAGCGTGGCGTGTTAGTGCTGCTGACGGTTGTGTGAGGCCTGAGTGGACCCATGAGCTCTGTAAGCAGCGTCCTGATCAGTGGCTGTTTACCAAGAGCGCTCTGTGTCACCTAGCCATTTTTTCTGATATTACTTAATTCAGCAGTGATTTCTTATTGAAATGCCACAACCTAGATGAAAGTTCTCCTTAAAAATACCAGAAACAATCTCAGGGATGACTAGTGAAAAAAATCACAGAATATGTCAAACCGAGCAAGATAAAGCAGTGCAGATTCTTACGGGCATCAGAGCCCATTGCTGTGTGATCACGGAAGGGTCCCCTAAGGGCTCGATGACAAAGCTGAGCTGACCGTGGGTGTCCTAAAACCAGGCAGCGTCTGTCCTGGAGTGACTTTGGTATTTTGTTTTTTTTTTAATTATTATTCTTAGGTAGCACTTTTACTGAATTCATATTTATAAATGGGCCAAGGGATAAAGTCAACTGAGTCATTTGGAATGAAGTTTCCCAGAAACTTACGACTTCACTTTTGTATAAGTGTAGAAGGAAGGTCCCAGAAGAAACAACAGACTCATTCCACAGGGAAGTGAGTAAGAAGCAAAATAGTGCTTGAGGGGAAATAGTTTCCATGGAGAAAGCAATAAAGCTTGGCCCTCAGCAAGGCTCTGGGTCCCTGCGGGCTGACACCTCACCTCTCAAGTATTTTGCCAGTTTGAGTAATTGTCATTGTTGTATGTTAACTGTGATTTTGGTAGCATGGCTTTTCCCAGAACCAGATCCGTTGGACAACAGTTAGAGGCCTGAGTTTAAGTTAGGAAAGATTCAGCCTTTTTACTTCTAGATAGGCAGATACTGTCCTTAACTAAGCTGTCCTCTGAATTTTCGAAGCCACTGGGACCCTGAACTTGCATCTCTCTACCTCTGTGTTGTTGAATCCACTCGCCTTGTCATGTCAGTGAAGTCACGGTGTGCTTGTCCTGTGCTTTCTTCCCAGGAGAAAAGCCTTACAGATGCTCATGGGAAGGGTGTGAGTGGCGTTTTGCAAGAAGTGATGAGTTAACCAGACACTTCCGAAAGCACACCGGTGCCAAGCCTTTTAAATGCTCTCACTGTGACAGGTACGTGCATGAGGGCCTTGCTGGAAAGGTCAGAGAGCCACGGGCGTGCAGTGACCAGGCAGGGCAGGTGTGCGGTAGCTCTTGTTGTGAAAAACGGCCAATAATTTCCAGCTATTTGTTGACATCTTTTTAAACCTAGAGCTTTTTAAGGAAGCCTCTGATGTATCCCATGTCGGTATTAGGAAGCTTGGTTCCAGGTGTCCATGAAATGAGAGTACAGTGATTCCCCTCTATGTTTTGAAGATTGGCCTTAAGCAGTCTTCAGGTTTGAAGAATGAGATAGGAGGTCCATTCAGATTTTCCAGAGAACTTTCCAGATTCCTCTAACCTGGGGTTTCCTGCCTCTAAAATTCTCGACAAGAGGAGATTCCCCCCTTTCTGTCCAGAGGAGTTGGTTCGGGGAATTGAGGTGTTTGCCCTGTAACACAAGCTGCGGAGGAAACCTAACTTCTTTGCTTCTGATTTGCCCTTGCAGGTGTTTCTCCAGGTCTGACCACCTGGCCCTGCACATGAAGCGGCACCTCTGAGGGAGCAGAGGGGTAAATCCTGTAGGCTAAAAGGCTTCCAGGCTGAGAGACAGCCGTGGAAGGAGGGATGCGTGTTCCAGCCAAAGCATGCCATTTTGCACCCTACCCAGTTGCCTCCAGGGCCTCTCTGAAAGGTCTTTCGAGGGCTGACCGAGTCACGTCAGAAGCGGCATTACCACCTGTGGTGCATGGTGTGGGGGTGACCCTGGACTCGCCGCTGATACCTGACCTTCTGCGAGGCTCCACGCCTTCGCTGTGAGCATGCGCACTGAGAATGTTCATGGTTGGGCTGACTGTATGTTGAGGATCTATTACTGACTGTATGATGCGGCAGACTTTTTTCCCTTGTGGTAGCGAAACTGCAAGACACAGGAAAAAAGTAGTTTGAATGTTTTGTGTGTAAGGAGTATACCGTGAGATGAGACGACCACCAATCATTTCCTGGGAGGGTGTCTGCACCTTAGAAAAATACAAAAACAAAACAAAACAAAAAAACAGGAAAAAAAAAAAAAAAAGAGGAGGGTGGGAGTGGGAACTCAGGACCCCAGAGAGGCATGTGGTGTGGGCAGGGGGCCTCTGCCCCCTTCCTGTGTGAGAGGAACTGTTGGTGTCTGGTGCAGCTATTAAACGTGCAATGTGTCAAGTAGCTTGTTTTACTTGCTACAGAGGAGCTCACTTGTAACCCATTGTATAAGCTGTATTTACGAATATAACACAATGATAATTTTTCCTTATAATACAAGAAGTCATGCATGGTCTGGGGAACTATATGCTTTTCCATTTTAAAATCTGGACTGCGATCTTGATTCCAATTAATGAGCAGCTAAGATACAATTTGTCTAATACAGTCATCCCTAGCCTCAAGGGCCTGGCAAGACACAATTTTTCCCCCTTGTGTTTTATAACACTCCTCTTCCAGAAAGGTGTTGTGCAGCGTAGGATTATTTTTAAAATGATTCTGAATTTGAAATAAGTTTTTGGAGAATTTTGTGATGCCCTTTGAAGAAGAAATTGGACATGTGCCGAGTGTCCAAAAGCTGGGGCTGGAAATTGCTGGTCTAATGTTACATTAGGCTAAGAAAGAACCTAAAATTTTTCACAGTTGGGTGAATAAAACCACTAAAGCTTAGAAACTTTTTCTCATGCAGCTATGTTTCTCTTATTTATGCCTTGAGGACTAATTTCTGGTTTTCTAGCTGTTAATGCACTGTTGACCTTCATAATGGTGCCTTATGCAGGTGGCCCCCATGTCGGGGTCTCATACAGGGGTATGGGTGATGCATGCTTTATTAAGGCTCTTTTTTCACCTGGCATTGTACTGTATCAATGTATAATACAGAAAAACAGACAAAAAAAAATAACCTCTTTAAGGTCCTCCTTCACAAAGACAAATAGATGAAAACTCCCTCGACGTGTCGGTATTTGTTCAATATTTTAGACAACTTGACTGTCAGTGTTAAAAATGGAAAAAAAAAAAACCTATGTGGTAATTGAAAAAAATCTGACCAATTCTGCCACCGTGAGACTTTCATATAGACCTTGCACAACAATTGTATAGATCACACACCGGCTGTATTTAATATGTAACATGTTCACACATATTAAAGATACAGAAGTATTAAAAAACAATGTCAATGTATTTGCTTAAAAGGCACAAGTTTCACATATCTATCTAGCTATCTGTTGGTAATACAGAAAGTATACTACTTTTTTTAAAAAGTGGGCAGAATTCTTGTGTATGTATATTTGTGTGTATAGTATGTGTGTGTATATATATTATATATATAGGTAATATATAAATATTTTTTTTAAGGAGAAACTAGAATGTTTAGCTAGAAAATTCTACAGCCTGTGAAGTATTTCAAAATGGCCATAAAGGAGGTAAAAATGAAAACTATAACCTAAGTTTTGTAGAGGCTTTATCTTTAATTTAATGATTTGCTGAAGACTGTTTTGGCATGAGTCTATTCCAGACTACCAGCTTGCCCGTCCTTGTTGGCATGTCTGGCATAGGGCACCTTTGGCCATTCAGAAGTGGCATGAACAGAATACCGGCATACCAGTTGGACTCAGACACACCATGGTTTGGATTTGAATTTCAGCCTTATTAGAAGATCTAACCTAAGAGTAAGCTAATCACAGGGATTCTTTTTTAGACACTTTTTATGCAGATAAAGCTATTTTTTCCAGCATGTAGATCCTTCCAGTTTTTCCAAGGAACGATTTCCCCAAATTGACATACCACACAGAATGGAAAGCAGACATTTCATCCAGTACCTAGCCGCTGCTGCTGGGTGTTGGGTCTGGAATGTGTATATATATGCACACACATACATGTATGCGTATGTATATGTATATGAGTCTGGCTGAGCTGGTATTTTGTTTGATCTTCCTGGAAATGAGCAGCGATTCAAGCTCACATAACTGGTTTTTTTATCTGGGCTGATGAATACATTTACCTAAAGAACTTACTTCATTTTGATTGGGGAAAAATGCACTTTGTGTTTGGCAATTCAAAATCCAAGCACCTGATTCGCTGGGTTTTGGAAAACTCCTTTTTTGGCCCTGCTGTGTGCTTAGCCATAACAATTCCATGAAGCAAGAAGGTAAACAGACAAAAAAAAAAACTTGCACTGGCCTGTCTCACTTACGAAACACCACGGAGGTGGTTTGACTGGGTGGGGCTGGGGGCCATGTACGTCCATGCCTGTAATTTTCATAATAAGCAAGTACATAAAGAAGTACATTCTGTTCAGGTGATAACTGAGCCTCAATCAAGCAGAAACTTTTTGCTTGAAATTAAAAAAAATTTCTATTAGTGAAATTTCTTTTTTTTTTTTTTTGGAAGCACCCTGTTATCTAAAGAATCTTTGTAAGATTTTTGTAAAATTTTGTTTTACAAGATTTTATTTGAAATTGTTTTTTGCAAGATTGTTATATTTCTGTATGAATGTATTTTTTATTGGAATAACATAAAAGAATTCTTATCAGCGTCTTGAGTCTGGTTGTTTTTCACAGTGGGGGAGGGGTTGTTGAAACAAATTCCTGCTGTATTACTCATCTTGGCTTCCTCCCCGGAAAGCTCCATTGTGCAATGCTGAGAGCCATTTGCCTACCTCAGTGCCTTCCTTCCCACTTCCCACAGCCTGCCCTGCGTGCTGGAGGGAGGAGCCTGACACTGCTATCCCTGAAATGCATTGAATGCTCTTCCCCAAAGTCTGACCAAAACAGCCCGGGGCTTTAGCGAGGACACAGTAGCAAGACACTTACTGCCTTTTATTCCCCTGTCACTCAAGCCAGGGGACTATGGCAGAAGCATCTGATCCCTAGGGGACACACTCCAGTGGCTCTTTTCCCTCCTCCGTTGCCTGCACCAGCAGTCCTGTCCAGTTGGGCAGTGAGAGCGGCCCTTCCTGCGTGCACACCTAGGGAGGTTTGTCTGAAAGGAAGGTGAGGGTGGGAGAGGATAGGGGAGGGACGTCAGGCCAGAAAGCCACTCTCCTGCCCCTTTCAACCCAGTCCTTCCTCAGCTTTTGCAGGTTAGTCTCATAAAGTAGGGCAGAAAGTAAAAATTACATCACATGATTTTATGTCTTTTTATAAAGACCAATAGGATGCCTTAAATGTTTGTTTGAAAATAGGCAGCTTTTTTCTTTTCTAAAAGAACAACATTTTTAGTCCGTAAATGGTAGTCTCAGTTTAACTTTACTGCATGGATCAGTGCAAATTGATCCATCCAGGAGTCCACTTTCAGATTATATTAAGCCAATCAGGAGTGATAGGGTAAAATCGATGTGTGTTTCCTTGGGAACAGAGCTTCAAGTTTAGTTTCCGGAAAAGGATGGTCTCCATTTTAAGTGGCATAACCGTTCACTGTTTTCCTTCATAGTAATTCTTCATTTTGCTAAACGTCCAGGATTTATGGGAGTTGCTTTTAATTTCATAACTGAGTAGGGGAAATGTAACTGCCAAGATTAGGAATTTTAGGAAATTTTTTTTTCCTCTAACCATGATAAAAATATAAGCAATTTGGAAGGATTTGTGGTGGGGCAGGGTGTGAGGAACAGATGACAGTTTTGCCAGAATCCATGGGTGTGTTATGTTCCGAAGCACATGTCAGGATGACTAACAGTTGGATTGCCCTGACTATGCAGTCTAAATAAAGGATTGATAGTACATTCTCGGCTACTATTAAGACTTGACCACTTTGTCATGCAAAATCTATGTCAAACAGCTAAGTTATGTTCAAATAAGACGGTTGGGAGAATAGTCGTGCAAAGAATTAGCTGCAAACCTAGGATATTTATAGAACTCTAGAAGGTTTCAGTGGCTTGACAAATTTTTTGAAACCTGGCTGAAAGAAAGGAAATGTTCTTGCTCTAACAAGCTATGTGCTTTGGGGACAATTAGCTGAGCTACACTGGACCTCAGTTTGCTTATTGCTAAAATAGTTTGGGCTAGGTCACATGGCCCAGCATTTTTCTATAGCACTACAATTCTGTGGCCTGTGAATACAGAGTGGACTTCAAATTACATGTTCACTGTCTTCAGACTTTTTGGCTCAAGTCTGGAAAACTTTCTCTTGGGCTACAGGAGAAAGTATTGATGAAAGAAATTGCTCTAGAAATGGAAGAGACCATTCCCAAACTGCCTTTTACTCCTTTAATTCATGTTAAATTATTGGGGCATGGACACTATAGAACATACTTCTTTAATAAAAAGAAAACTTTGAAAAGTGCTATATGGTCATTAAGTGGATTTGAGGTCTCCTCAACTGATGAAATCCAATGCCAGATCCAAGTTCATCTATATTCTCAAAGGACAATGAAGGCAGTTGAAGTTTCTCTGTTTTTCTGTTTTTCTTTTTTTTTTCTTTTTCCTTTTAGTGGTATTACAAAGGTTAAGCCAAAGCCTCTGGCCTGAGCAGGCTTTCCCAGCGTTTTTGTTTTGTTTTGTTTTGTTTTGTTTTGAGACTGGGTTCCATTAAGTTACTACATTGTTGCTCGCTCAGAGAACTTGCAGCCTTCCGGCTTCAGCCCACCAAAGTGCTGGGATTACGGGTATGGGCCACCATGTCCTGCTTAAAGTTTCTTACTTTTATATTTTAATTACTATAGAGAACATAGCTTCCATATGTAACTCCTTTTTCGTGTTTTAATATTATGCCCCCGTGAGCTAGTTTTTCACAACTCCCCTTCTCAAACTGGATTATTCCCTTTGTAAAATCTGATGATGTTAAAGATGAGGGTGAGAGAGAAAGAAGCACATCATATGTATAGTAGATGTTATAGCCATTTCACAGATGAGGACAATTGAGGTTCGAGAGATTATGCCTCTTTCCTGAGGTCACTCAGCTGGGAAGGTGCTGGCTGAGGGTTCTAGTCCAGCTCTTTTGGTTTCCAGAGACCATACTTTTGGCCACAGCCCTATACTCCTTTCTCTCAACTGATCTTTCGTTAGAGGCTTCTATTCTTCAACCTGGAGAATTCACCTTAAAACAGCGTTACATTTGTGAAATGCAGACAGCATTCACACAGTTCAGAAGCACTGTTACGATAAACTGTGCTGTAATCCTAAGAAAACAAAAGTAACCATTCTGAATTGCTTTCAAGATATGAGACAGATGGCACGTATTTATTTTTAATGTTTAAGAATATAGAGAAAAGCAATTGGGGATATGTCATCCTGCATTAATTGGCAGGAATCACCTAATGCACATAGTTAAGACACAAAGAGAGGAAAATTAGGTCCATGCATCACATAAATGAGGCAATACAACAAAGTGTATTTAACCAGATTTATTTTATGGCAAGGTCTTTCTGTTTCACTCTAAGTAATTTTAATGAGAATTCTCCAAATGTCTGAATGAGAGGAGACAAAGAAAACAAATCTGAGTCCCACATTTCCTCAGAGAAACTATGCTGGGCTCGGTCATCACTGCAGAATCTTCCATAAAAGACACATTTATCTAGAGTGCCCAGCGTCAAAAGGAGATTCGCCCGACTCTAGTTCTAAGCCTTGTACTGGCTTCTTACATAATCTGTGGGGAAAAAACAGTTATCACGTGATCTCTGCCATTGTTCCTTAAAATAATATCCCCTGATTCAAATCTGCCACAAACAATTAACTTTTGTAAAATAGTTCCAGTTCCACATCATGGATAACTGTACATCATGCTACATACCAGTATTTTTCTAAGATTTGTCTTTTTCTGATGACAGAACATATTTATAAGGGATTTGCGTGTGCCAGCTGAGCCCAGCACTGTTCCCCTCGATTTCTTAAGTTTCACGTTACCACATTTCATTTTGGTTGTGCAAGATTTGCTTCCAGATGTGCAAGATAGTTAATGACATGCACTGACATTATCAATTAACTCACTGCAAAGCTGGGCGGCATTGCCCAAGTGTCATTCTTCTGTTTGTGTTGGTAAGGAGATGAGAAAGCAGGGTAGGTAAGACGGCAGCAAAGTGCACTGATGCGAATCTACCCTTGAAGACAGGAATTTGAAAAATCCCCACCTTCCCTTGTGCAATTTACCCTCCTCTGCAAAGTAGGTTCTTTATTCATAAGCTCAAAAGCAAGGGCAAGCCACCAGTTCATCATGAGAAAAGTGTGTGTGTGTGTGTGTGTGTGTGTGTGTGTGTGTGTGTAGTTTTTAATTAAACAAAAGTCTAACTCCTTGTATTAAAACTGCTTTGGGGCAAGATTCCTACATAGACATCATGTAGTCAATGTATATTATGAACATTAGTGTTAGCTGCAGATTTAAAATACTGTGCTACGATGAGCCAAAGGCAAATATTTGTCACCATGTCCTGAAGTAAGATAGAGACTAGGAGACTGGTGCCACAGGAGGGCTTGGAGAGAAAAAGACCATTGGAAAGCACCACGTCTCTGAAGTTGCTCCCAAGGATAGCCCTTGGGTGTGAGGAAAGATGTGGGCGGATGGGAATGGGGCCTTTTCTGCTTAGAGTGGTAATGCCTGCAATAGTCCCTGTTCCCAAGGGACATACCTGGTCTTCCGGGCTTTTCCAAAGTGTAATGCAGCTCTGTCCTCCAGGTTCAAGTGTGGGAATAGGGTCAGTCCCATTCTCCACCTCACCAGACAGGTTTGTGGGGATTAACATGGGCAGCTGCCAGTAGCTTCTGATTCACCATTAATCAATCGTGACCGGGCCGTGGAGCTTCCTGCACTGAAGTCATCAGGAACATTGCCTTTTAAGGATCTGTGTGTTTGCATGAGCAGCTGGGGTAGCACCTGAAGTGAGACAACTGTTCAAGAAAGTGGAGAAGGTGTTGACTTGAGGCCTCACGGCCCCTTCTTTAAACTGTTTCCTTGGGTACCTATAACAGGAACACAACTTAGGAGTTACTGTTCTTTAAGGAATTTCTAAGAGTTATATGTACAAAGAGTAATAAGCATTTCCCTTATTATAATTGTGGCAGTCAGTGGTGAATTTTCTACTTTGGGGCTTAAAAGCAAAGACTTCATGAATTTCTGGCTTTGTGATTTTTGCTTACACCCTTTCAGCTGTGATTTTCACATCTCTAAAATGGGTATTATGGAAAGCCATTCAGGATTGTTGGAGCATTAGGCATAAAGTGTGTAGAAGACCTAGTCCACAGCCCAGCGTGACAATCAATTATTGATAGTTATTATTATGGGTTACTGAATATTTATTTCTTAAATAGGAAAATAATTTTCTTTCTTCCCATTGAATTTATTTTAAAATGGACTCCTTTCTTAAAATTAGCAACAAGAATCATTCGCTCATGTTTACTTTCCACAACATAATTTTCTCATAAATTCAGGGAAGGATAAGTACAGACTATTATGCTGTTTTCAAATGACCTATGAAGTTGTTTCCTCTTGCAATACTTGCTGTGCTGCTGAAATCTTGCAGGAAGGAAATTCTGCAAGTCTTTGGGTAAAGCACTTTACTGTTGAAAGCCAAGGACATACTGACCAATGGCGGGACTGAACTGACCA